TCATCCACTTTACCAATCCCTCCCATCACCTTCTTTGCACTGCTCCTTCTTCCCCTCTTGCGTTGAAGTCGCTCATCAGCTGCGCGGTCCCAAGTCTCCAAAACCTCAATACTACTTACCCTGAATCAAGCAAAAATTGAACAGATAATCTGCTAACTTATGGCTTAGGTACGTCGCCCGCGCGGGCGCACATGCGAAGCCGCTCCTCGACTGCGCAGTCCCACACACACCGTCTACATTACCAAAACTAAGTCTCCCTCATTCAAAAGTGAACAGATGATTCGCTAACTTATGGTTAGGTACGTCGCCCGCGCGGGCGCAAATCCAGAGCCGCTCACCAGAGTGCCACGAAAGCCGCTTAACAGAGTGCTAATATACCTAGTTTAGATAAACTCGCAGTCTAACTATGTTATTAATTAGTGCAACTCTATTAAAGGCTATAGTAGTTATATCTTTAGACAAGTAATTAATCCTACTATAGACTTTAATATATTAATAACTTGCAAGTCTAACTAGCGCTCCTAATACTATTAACTTTATCTTTAGTAGATAGATAGTAGCCTATCTAATAACGCACCCACGGTTTTATACTAGCTATTCTTGTCCCTACAGCATTCCCTTAACGTTGTTTTATTAAGTTAGTTAGTGTTAAAGGGATTAAGATATGCTAGACACTAGCTAGGTTGTAGTAGCGTGAGGACACTATATAGTACTAGGCGCAGTATTAGTTGTTAAAACTAGCTTAGGTCTACCTAATAAGTAGTTATAGCAATACACGCGTCTCTCTGTCTTTACGTTGCTTAGGGAGATGTCCCTATTAAGTGCTCGCGCTTAAGGCGACAAGGTAGTACCTTCTCCGTATTGTTGTTCTATTAATATTATTAAGATAGGTGGCACCTCTAAGTTAACAAACGCCGCAATAAGAGTTGTCGTAGTTAGCAGCAGTTGCACTCCTAGAGCCTGTAGTTTGTGTAATAGATAAGTAGTAGGTTAGTACACACCTACACTTCCTAAGGATCTATAGTGTAGAGGATAGTTAGACCTAAGCTAAACTTAACACTTTACTTGACTAGTTATTTAACAGATTTCAAATTAGTAATCTTGGCTAGAATTAGGACTAGTGGTTAGCAGTTGCTACTATAGTAAGCACTACAGTACAAAACCGGTTTACAGTAGCCATATTTATCTAAAGTAGACCAAGAAGTAGTTTAGGTAGAAGAAGTAAACCTAAATAGGGTTTATTATACCATGTATTCCACAAAAGTAAACTACTTTTATTTCTACTTCTATTAATCTACTAGTATTAGTAATAACTAGTTTCCTACTAACTATTTAAGTATTTTACCCCTCCTTTCTTTAATCTTCTTTACCACCTCTATCACCACCTCTACCACCACCTCTATTACCACCTCTACCACCTCCACCACCTCTACT